AGCAAATCCTTGAAGAACACCTGCAGATCTTTCAAAAGCTGTTTGGAAGCAACAAGGAATTAGCCGCTGCAAATGTAAGCTTGGATGTCACAAAGATTCAGTCACTGGTGGGCAGGAAGATGAGGAAGCAGCTTCAAGAGGGGCAAAAAATGAGAGACAAGAAAGAAGCCAGCAGTCGTAGAGAAGGTACCTTAAATGGAAGAAACAAGATACATGCAGAGATCCTGGAGTCAGGTACATTTCTTCCATCAACCCCCTATAATAACCTCATCATGATTTACCCACCTGAGGCTCTCTAGATGTTTTGGACATCAGGCCCAGCCAGCTTGGGGAAGTTTATTATATTTCAAATATTTCTTAACTACCCTCCATCAAAATGTTCCAGGATGATGCAAAAGAAGTGTAAATATTTCATTGACAGTGGTACCTAGGTTGTCGAACGACTTGGCTCCCAAACAAATCGGCTCCCAAACGCTGCAAACCCAGAAGGAAGTGTTCTGGTTTGTGAACATTTTTTGGAAGCCGAACTTCCAATTGAGTGCAGGAAGCTCCTGCAGCCAATCGGAAGCTGCATCTTGGTTTTCGAATGGTTCTGGGAGTCAGACTCCTGGAATGGATTAAGTTCAACAACCAAGGTCCCACTGTACTTATAAAAGTATTTCTATACTGCCCTCTCGCAAAACATCAGGGTGGTGCACAAAGGAAGTCTCCCAAGAGATGCCTGCCGAATCTCTGCTGGAAGGGTGTTCTACAGCATGGGAAGGCCTGGTTAGAAAAGAACTACTGTATTTTTCGCTCTATAGGACGCAATTTTCCACCTTCAAAAATGAAGGGGAAATGTGTGTGCGTCCTATGGAGCAAAGAAGCCAGCTGGAGAAGTGACGTGAGACTATGGCAGCAGCCTCTCCGCTGCGCGCCTTTCCGCTGCTCCCCGACCTGCTCTTTGGGGCTGGTGGTGGGCTTCCCCCCGCCAGCCCCAAAGAGCAGGTTGAAAGGAACCTGAAGCCTGGAGAGCGAGAGGGGTTGGTGCGCACCGACCCCTCTCGCTCTCCAGGCTTCCAAGGTAGCCGCCTGAAGGCAACTGAACACACCTTAAACGGCACCTTGTTTTAGAGGGGGAAAACAAGAGGGGGGAAATTCTCCCCCTCTCTGCGCAGCGCCTCCTGCCGCTTCCCTGAAGGGGCGCTGGGCAGAGAGGGGGAGAATTATTTTTTCTTGTTCTCCCTCCTCTAAAACAAGGTGTGTCCTATTGTCCGGTGAATCCTATAGAGCGAAAAATACGGTAGTTCACATCCATGAACAGCTGCTCTCAGTCAGACTAGGCAGTTGTGGGCTTGGCCATGGGCAGGGAGCCCTGGGACCCTCCATGTGCTGCTGGACTCCAGCTCCCATCAGCCCCAGCCAGCGTGGCCAATGGTCAGGAATGATGAGAGTTGGAGTCTAGCAACATACAATGGGCCAAAGATTCCCCCATCCCTGGCAGACAAATAACCTGACCTAGCATAAGGCAACTTCTTAAATTTCAATTGCATTAAAGCATATGATATTGTTGTTGATTATGATGATAATACCCCACCCATCTGGCTGAGTTGCCCCAGCCACTTTGGGCAGCTTCATGTCCACAGGAACTTCTAGATCTATTTCATATTTCTTCTCCACTCGTATTCTGAACTATTGATCAGGAAGCTTCTGGACTCCATCAAGCCAGTCCTGTCAATAAGTACAGAAGAGAACATTTAGTCCACTACGCTCTGAATTTTGACGGAACACGTCCTAACAAAGGCACAAGAGCCATTATGATGCCAGCACTTTCTGAAACTTAGCATCAAATGAGCGTTTTCAATTTAAACCAGAGTTTGCTTGGAGTGTGGAAAGTAGGTAATCCATTGCACAGAAAGAAAAAAAAGTATTTAGAAGTTGTTGAAATTCCCTCTTCTATAGGAGTGCCACTTTTGCCATGCCATATGCTGGCAAAACTCTGCAACAAAATAGGATTTATAAATGGCTTACAGGGGTGGGTTTGCATGGAACAAAAGGGCACATAAGATATTGTCAGTAAGTTTCACAAATGGGGGCAAGGATAATACTGGGTATTTTAAAGTCTTATCCTAGCCAAACGAACCTTAGTTTCCACTTGAATTGTTTTGAACTACTGTATTTCCTGAAAGGGCGGCACGGGTGCCGTAAGACGGCCAATTATGTAAAATGGTGAAGAAAATAACTCAGGGAGTTTGTGCTAAAGAGGTACAGAACTCAACAGTGGTTTCTTGAATTAGTTTGCTTGTTGAATTACAGTGTAGCTCCATCTCCTGGCAGAATGGTGCTTTTGTTTTGTTTTCTCTGAGCTGTAGTCTAGAAAGGTGTGTTTCAACATTTTGACAACTGGGAAAACCCATACAAAATTCCAGAGCCAACCTGCAGATTTGGTAAGATTGTCTCGCCACCCCACTGCCCCCCCAACATCCCCTCCCTTCTCTTCACCTAGTGGCAGCTATAACAAATGCACACAAAGAGCCCCCCCTCCCCAAACCATTATCCTGTTATAGTTGCCAACAGTGTGCCATGGAATATTTCCCGTTACAGAAGCCCTTAGGGCAACTACCGCTCCCATAAGCCCAAAAGGGAAAGAAAAATACCTCCCCTCTTGCCTCATCCGAGTACCTGGCAAAAGGGGGGATGTGGGGCAGGGGTGGCTTTGTAATGTGAGGCGGCGGCAGTGGCAAATCCAGGAATTCTCCAGCTGTACTCAATATCCAAGCGGGGAAGAGTTTGTGGAAATGGAAGACTTACCTCGTTTTTGAGATGGAAGCTCACTTCAACGCCTGGCCTGGGAGACACTTGAAAGCATCTTGCCTGGTAAACTGGAAATGTTCTGGGACTTTGGATAACTGTAAGCACTGTTATGTAAACTCTCCCTCTCCCCCATCTAGGTACCTACGTGGCCTTTTATGTGAGGTATTTGGAAGCCAGAGGAGAGCTGAGCCTCAACGGAACATATCTTAATTACGGAGGGGGTTATTTCCCTGAACACGGCTACTTCAAGTCTCCTCATACTGGGGTTTACCTTGTTGCCATCAGCGTGGAGCTTGCACCAGGACCTGCCTTGGGGCAACTGGTCTTCAGCAACCGGCAAAGAATGACGCTCATCGACACCAAAAAGAGAAAGGCAAGTGGAGGCTCTCTGGCTACTTTTGCACTTGTGGATCTCAAGAAGGGTGAGCTCATGTGGTTTGAACTGGTGCAGGGCACTGGAGCGAAGCAGAACCCAGCTGGATTAAGCATGGCTGGATTTCTGATATTCAAAACTTGAAAAATAAAAGGTCCCAAAGTCATAAATGATACTTTGCTATACACACACGGCTAACCTGTACTAGCCCAAAGACGGCGAGTTTTGCTGTGTGCACTTTTAAATGTAGTCCCAGCCCTTGATTCGCCTCAGTGCTGCTTCCTAGAAATAGTTCAGTTGTTGCTTAGCGGTGTCACAAATGAAGAAGAAATGGAGTTTGTATGTTGCAAAGGCTTTATGAAAAACGTTAGAGCAAGGATGGGTCACTTGTGGCCTTCAGCTGCTGCTGGACTCCCAACTCTTCTTGGCCCTAGCCATGATCAGTCAGGGATTATGGGAAATATCAGGAAGCCCCAGGTTTTTCGCGCTCCATCCCTTTGATAGTTTATCATGCATTTGATTCTATTCTTCCTCTTGTCTTATTTATAAGAATATTGCTCATTCTTCACTGGATCAGTTTCCAGTGGAATATCATTCATTTCAAGATTTATTTTTTATAATAAAAAATCCTGGACAGGACAGGCCCTCCTAAATAAAGTGGCATGGTGCCATTCTCTGTCATGCTAGGGATATCAGAAATCACACAGGAGGGACTTTCAGATGAACAAAATGAGGCATTTCTATTCCTAAAGTGCTATGAAATTATGGTGTCTATACTTACGAGAACTGTATCACTTTGCGTACATTCTCAATAAATACTCTTTGTTTTGTACACCTGGCTGTAGTTTTGCTTTGCACATTTTAATAGTTCAAGTGCAGGAATCATAAAACTTCCACTGATAAGCATTTAACCCAGTTTCATGTAGATGTGCAAATACCAGACATAAAATGATTTATTTCAAGGCCAAATTATTGTGAATAAAACTCCTCATATGCATGATTCCAGCTAAGTTATAAAACTGCAGAAAGATAAATGTGAATATACATTATCTGTATGTACTTTGATAAAACTAAACTATGTATGTGGTTTGTTTTATAAATGCTACAGAAAAAGGTTCAGCAGACAGGGGAATCCTAAGGTTTATGCATGTATGTAATGCACAACTTAAGGTAAGCGGTCTCACATGCTACAGGGGAGATGAAAGAACAAAACAGAGGAAGGGGTAACATTTTTAACAGCAGCCTGATGCTGTGTATGAAGTATAATTCTGCACTGAGATTCAACAGATTTTTCTTGTAGAATGGTGGAGGGAAACTTCTCACAAGGTATTTTGGACCCTCGTTTGAACACATGGGAGTGCACATTGTTGCAATTATGAATGGCCTGTTTTACTTTGATCATTCACTGGTTCTGTGTATTTTTAATGTCTGGGGTTCCACTTTTGGTGCATCTGAAAAGTTACCAGGAAAGACTGAAGTAAGGAAGCAAGTGGAGTATTATTTTGTATAGTCGTACCTTGGATCCTGAAGAACGCAAACCCGGAAGTGAGTGTTCCGGTTTGCGAATGTTTTTTGGAGCCTGAACATCTGGTGGCACTTCCACAGCTTCTGATTGGCTGCAGGAGCTTCCTGAAGCCAATCAGAAGCCGTGTTTTGGTTTCGAATGTTTTGGAAGTCGAATGGACTTCGTTTGACTTCCAAGGTACGACTGTACTTCAGTACAAATTACTTGTGAGACCATGACCTTCAGCACTGATTTTAAAGGCAAAGCATACAACCATGTGTGTGGATGTTTGATCACCAATATGCAACGGTTAACAAACAAATATATTACTAATGTTTACTAAAATAAGGTTATTTACTTAAAAATGATACATTGACATAAATTTGTGTACAGAACAAAGCAATTCATGGTAAACTTAAGGCACCTTTTAAATCAGATGCTGTACAAAAAGACACTTAGCCTGTTACAATTAAAAAACATTCTAAACTTGTGGTATATATATAACAAAATGAGTATAATCATACTGCTTCTTTCACCCTCTCCTTTTTATTTACATCTTCTATAGGTTAGCTACATTATTCTTTCTGTATACAATATAGTACATTTTTATATTGGGCATGGGGTAAGTCAGAGCACAAAACATGAATACAGTATGTGGGCATTTATATTGCATTCAGGGGTACTATACAACAAGGCAATTGTTCAATGAGATGATCATTTGCAGTATCATTAATTCCACATTTGATACAGGAAATAAGTCTTTCATTTTGGGCACAATCCACCAGAAATTTTAACACCAGTTTAGAATGAGTGGGAGTTGTGAAAGAACACTCCTGTTTACACAACAATCTCCCTTTTATTTTACTGAGGCTTGTAGTAGAGAAGGGTCTGGTCCCGTCTCTTTTTCTACAAACTTCTGCAATCCACCAAAATGGGTTTTGGAGACATGGTATAATATGAGTGACTAGGCCAACAATAGCTACCATCACAAGACGAGGCAAAAGGTACATAATTACTTTTCTAAAAGACCAGCCAAATCTGAGTCCTCTCACATTGAAACTGGGCAGAAGACTCAGTATTTAAATTAGTATGCAGCGTGAAAATAATAAGTTTTGTTCTAGTATTTCAGATCACACCTTGACGTCAGACAGCATTACTGCAGAGAAGGCAACCTACAAATTTGTAGTGTGTCAGCTTACTCTATTTAAACAGAGAAGTTGTAGTGCTCACAAATATATGGGGGAAACGGAAAAGTCTCGTTTCCCATGCACTGGAAAGGTACAGATGCAATGACAAATAATGTTTAGAGCTGAGAAGAGTATCAGGGGAAAGCATTTCTCAAAATAGACATGGGAAACCGATGCTGTTAGCGACACAAACAGGCGTTATGGGTTCATAAAGAAGCTGATTCTTGGAATATGAAGGTGTTACATCAAGCAACAGGTGACAGCAGCCACTCAGGAAATGTATTCATGGAGGTAGGCATTTTTATGGCATAAGAAGCAAATAGGTTTTTTTTTTATGGCACTAGTCAGAACTTATTGAAATGATGGCTTTTTGCTCTTTTAAAAAAGAAGTGTGATACTCAAAATATATACCAATTGTCTTGGCTGATTGTTATTAGATAATTAGTAAGTTCTCTCAGATGACAATGGTTAAAAATATTTTGCGGAGCAGAAAACGCCACCCAATTTAATTACAATATTGGCTTTCAGGAATATTTTAGAAAACAAGCAAACGGAATTCCAAGGGGAAATTTCCATTCATTCTTGTTCCTCTAGTATTCCTTAACCCAAATGCTGAATGTATTTTGCAGTAATTTCTTAACACTAACCAACCTTCCTCACAGGCTTAAATGGAGCTGCCCCTGCTGCTTTCAAATTCCCAAGGGTGGTGTGGCACAGCTTTGCAAAATGCTGCAGCTTCCTTAAAAAAGAGGGAGAGTTGAAAAGTCTGCTTCATAATAAACAAGGGAGCAATCCAACCATTATACTTTTCATTAATCTAACTATCATGATACTCTCAAAGCTTCAAGGTACACATTCGTTTGCAAGCGGGAAATTATTTCAAAAGCATACTTCCAAGGCACAAATGCACTGTTGATGAACTAGTGTGTATAGTACAAAATTAAAGAATTGACTCACACACATACTAAACGTAGTCTAATAAAAGATAACATTAGCATGAAAAAGTCTGAAATGAGTCTGTTGGCATTATGATAAGGCAATAATGTTGAAAAACATACCAATTCTTTTGACAATGGTATGATTCAATTTTGCCACATTTAAGGTCACTTCTCACTCTTTGGCTGTGATGTCATGGACACTTGAAAATGCCTCTGTGAGTGGCCACATCCTTCATGTTGTATTGGCTCACCAGGTGAATCGGAAATATGTCATTTGTCTGCAAGCTGCCACCAGGAATATTTGGTGGTAGCCTGGAGATAAAAGCACACTGCAGAAGCTCATATGTGAGGCTGTTTGGCCACCAAGTAGTAAGAAGGAGTCTACCACACATCAAGTGCAACAATATAGCAGAATTGCTACTTGCATCTACTCCCAATTGAAAATTAATTTACAATCATGAATTAGTCAAACATTTTTACAACTGCTGAATTAGTATGAGTGAAACAAATGACTTCCAAGCATAGCTTTGGTCAGATCAATAAGGTGATCCACAGAGGTGTTAAAGATGCCCTTAAAAAACAAACCCCCAAATTGGTGGGACATTCATACAGCTGGTAGAAGGGATCCAAAGAAACATGGACACAGAATGATTAGTACCATGAAGACAACCGAGTACAATTTCTCCCCTTGCTCTTATGTAAAATTGCCAAGGGGTGGAGGGCAAGAGATCAAAAATAAAATTTACTTTAGTAAATGAGATTTTGAATCTTGCTTCCATGTGATGAACTCAAGAAGAAAAAATTAGCAAAGGTCACAGTTGAACTAGCTAAAAGAACAAAAAATTTCATAAACATTATGTTAATGGTACTAAATTTTGGAAGGAAATTATTTCAAAACTTGTTTAACAATCTCAAGCCTTTTTGAGGCAAATTTCATTTCTACTAATTGCATAGCTGGAAGGAATGTGGCACTTCCAATTAGAAAGTGAAATGCCAGACATCTGTTGCTTCTACTAGAAAATGCAGTGTGTTCAGAAATAATGGGCTATTCCCTCTGCTCTAGCTAAAATGTCTCCTAAGAAAGTATCAGGGACATGAAATAGCCCATAGATATGTCTGGACTCTAGGAATAATGGACTAAATCCAAACCGTGTTAGTTAAACTTAGGTTCCACTGAATCCAATGTGAAAAGTTAGTCATTACTAAGTTAGTTCTCATTGGGAGAAAATGTGGCTTAAGCGCAAATAACTTAATTTGGATGCAACCCAGTGGCTCTGAGTTAGTATTGGCATTTGCTTTATTTTAGATTCTCAAGTCAATATTAAAATTAAATGTCAGCATATAATGCACCACTAAAAAAGCTACCCAACTTACATGGCACTTAAAACAAGAAAACAAATATTCCATTCTGGATGATGGAAAATATACACCTCACCAACTATTCTGACAAAACTCGTAAACATATATTTGTTAACATTGTATTTTAATATAGCCTACATCGGTTTTCAATCTGCACTCCCAGGAATCCTGGGGTTCCTCAAGAGATTACGTCAGAGGTGCCTCAAGATGATCAGTAAAAGCAGACAGGCTTCCCGAGTGTCTACCACTACTGATCTTCCTCTGCTATTCAGAGCCATAGTGGATAGCTGAAAGTGTCCTAGAGTATATACTTGGCTTACGAGAATGTAATATTGAGACCAAACAGGCCCAGCAAGTGGACTGAGTGTACCTACAAACAATTCTTGAATCTTCAAAATACTCTGTGACTAACAGCAATCCATGCAGAAGTTCTTAAACGCGTCAGTTAACGGTGGAAAGCGTTCCCTGAAAGCAGTAGTCTAGTGTAATAATTTGATTTATGGCAAATATTTACCAGCTACCTGTGCAAAACAAAACAAAAAGACATTTTAGAACGTCAGCCCAATTGCTTTTCTGGTACTGGACGGAAAAGAAATGACACACCTTTGCTCAAGATCCGTGGCACAATATTGTCTGTGACTTGCTGCATTCAAAATAAATTAATTCATAGCTTATGTATCCTGTGAACTGTTCAGCTGATACTAATACTTTAAAGGCATCACTGAAAGAGCAATGATTTAAGGAAATGTTAAATAAGATTTGTACATCTATAAATTAAAAAAAATACTGCAATCCTTTGCCTGACCATTTGCTGTTTGCAACCTATAGAACAAAATTTTAACACATCCTCACATTTATTTGAATTCACTCTAATATTGCATTAAGGGTCTTAATGAATGCCTCTAAAAGGGAAATTTTTATATCTTTGTAGTATCCATGCACATACTTTGACAGACTATCCAACATTTCTGCAAGTCACATTCACCTTGAATATGATTATTAAGTTTCATTATTTTCAGATGTGAATATGTTATGTTTACACATATACAAAAGAGCAGGTATGTAGCAAATAAAAGTACACTGAACACTATATAAATAACTTCCCTTTTTTAAAGCTAGCTAAGATACAGTTTACAGTACAAGATTACAGGCACTTAAATTATCGGAGACGTTTAACTGTTCCATGTTGTGTGCTCAGTCTTTGGGGAATTCATAGCACTGGGAGTATGAATTGTATTCTGGTCTGTTCTTCACATCACACTTGATGGTGACTTACTGCATAGGTTTATAGTAGCCGTTTTGGTTTTTGGTCATGAAACGTATATAATTTTTCCATGCAGCACAGAGGAAGGCAGAAATTGATTTTCTTTGAAATCCAAATAGGTTCCATATGCTGAGCCAAGGCATTGCAAAAGAAAATAGTAGTTTTGCATGAAATTAAATGGCTTCTTAGGTACTCCAAATGGCATCAGAAAAATCCTGGCACGCCCACACAAAACCATAAAAGGCATAAGGAATTTTCAAATTATTTAGTACCCCAGACTGCAGGCCAATCCACCAAGACTTGATAAGGTATCATCAGGTAGGCAAAAAGCTTATTCCCCCCACCTCCGCTGTTTAATTCATTTAACTTACGGCTTTCACAGAAAGCACTATCATCTGAATATGAAATTCAGAACTCAATGAGTTTTAGGGGAGTTTGAAAGTGAGAAGAATATCTCAACACAGCTCAAAACAAAAACAAAAAAAGTAAAATGAGGCTATCCACATGTATACCATATAGTGTACGTGGATACCATTTTCTACAAAGTACTGAAAGATTTAATATTAGCAGCCTGTAAAAGTGGTGAGGAAGGGGGCTGAAAATCAGACCCAGCCCCATCCCACCAGACCCTATACTTGCTTGAGTGAAGAGGCATAGCAGTCCAATGGCATTTCTTGGTCAAATCTTAACATCTTGAGATTCTACCATCTTGCCAAGTGTCTTCTTAATCCTCAAAGCTGTAAGTCTAGAGGCAGGATTGTGGGCCCAGCATTCACACATTAATTTCAATATTGCTCTTAAACACTGAAAATAGAAAAAGGAATTCTTGCATGAACAATTATGTATTTAACAGGATTTGTACACTGCTATACTAACAACTGTTGGTTCGTTTTTCTAAACCACTTATAGGCTTTTATAATTAAATCAAAGCTTTTAAGCGGTTTACAAAAATGAACCAACAAGCGAACTGCAACAGAAATAAAGTCAAATGTTAAAAACAATGACTTTAAAAATGCAAAAGATAACTAAAACCATCAATTTAAAAAAGATACATAATCAAATACAGTTATGTTTTTAAAAACATGTCAAATTTACATTTCTGGGAAGGTTTGCCGAAACAAAAAAGTTTTCTGCAGGCACCAAAAACAATATAGTGAAGATGTCTGCCTAATATCAAATACAAGTGAAATGCTGTTGCTGTTTGGAGTTAATTATTGTTAATGTGCACAGCAGATAAGTAAACCTTTTCTAATAAGAGAAGAATAAAATGTTGGTAGTGTTCATGCATCATGATAAATAATAGTAAAAGGTTTTACTGGTAAAAGTGTGAAGACTTGGAGGGGAGAATTCCAATCAGCAAACAATGAAAATTTCTAAGTTAATGTTTCACTTCAAATCTAAAATTTATTTCCATAAGTGGGGCAAAAAGAATTGTCAACTAGATTCTCCTTCTTTCAGCATGCTTACCTCATCACTATTCCATCTATTAGATACTATAGGGCGCAGGTGCTTAACACATATGACCTCTCTCATGTCCTCGTATGAAGGATCATTCGGCACCATGTCATAATAGGGTAGTTGGTACTCTTCAACAATACCTGCAAATAAATGATATAAATTTAAGTATGCAATTCAAAATTATCCCATGTGCTGCAGACAAGACTAATATACCAAACCTGCTTCTGATTTTAGGCCATTACCAGACTTAAGAGAGGCTCTTATTTTTGCATTTCAAAAGGAAATATTCCCCCCTACTTGCAAGCGGTTTGGGTGGGGGGCATACACAGAGGCTGAGACACCTGCACATTCAAGGGAATAGGGAACAGCAAAGAAAGGAGAAACTAAAAGAGAACATTCATGCTGATCTCAACAGATGCTACACTTGACAGAATGGGCAAAATAGAGAGACAGGTTGCTTTGTCACAAAACCATATTGCCTTCCCCATTACCCATGCTACACTCCAAGCCCCACGCAAGTTGGGTTGGTAGAAAAAGGGAACGCTGGGAGTAGCAGTACTTAATGTACAGAGCAACACTAACTTTATAAATAATCAGAGTCACCGATTTCATTTTCTGGAGGCCATGTTGCTGGCAAGAGAGATTGTGTGTGCAGCACATACACTTAGCATTCAGGGGATTGCCTGGCACATCCCTTGATTGTTAAGACAGGGGGTGGGGAGTGCTAGGGGATTCATGGAGAAAAGGAAGAGTTGGGGTTAGAGGCTTTAAGACAGCTCCAGAGCTGCTATTCACTCAAAAGGAGGCACAGGGATTTCTTACAGCCTTTTACAAGTCCCCCTCCGATCTCAGAGACTTAAAAGGGAAGAACAAAGAGACCTGGAAAAAGCTTTGTGAATCTTCTCTTGCTTTCCCTCTTAAGTCCCTGCAATTTAAGTGTAAGGGATTTTGACAACTATTAAAATTGGCCCATGATGCAGATCCTGGTAAGGATTTGGCCCATGAAGCAAAAAAGGGTTCCCCACTCCTGACTTAGGACATACGCATTATCATATTTTAAGACTAGATGTAGGCTTTACCTCCTGTGACACAACGCCGAGCCATTTCCCAAATGATCAAGCCAAAACTGTAGATGTCAGCCATAATGTATGGCTGGAAATGATTTTTATTCAGACTTTCATCTAGGACTTCTGGAGCCATGTAACGCTTTGTTCCCACTCTGGTATTCAAAGGGACATCAACTTCATTTGTATCACTGCATTAACATAAAATGTTGTATGGTTGAAATCATGTAAAACTAGCATGCAACAAGAAGTAGCAGCTACAGTAATGAAGCTTTTTCCTTCAGTTGTTAAACTAGTGTTTTTTTTAAACAGTGTAACACAGCCTTGGTACTAAGCCCCTAGAAAATATCAGCTTGCAAAAATGTTCATTTTATGAGCAATAAGCAGACTAATAAAAAAAAAAGGTGCCGGCTAGAAGGGTCCATGAGGCCCACAAGCATTCCTAGCAAAGGAAGCAGGTGGCAGTTGCAGAAAAGCTGATTTGGCTAGCGGAGTGCTTTGCCAGCCAGTTTGGCTTCCGTAGTGTCCACAGAGGAAGGGATGCCACGTACTCTGCAGGCAGCATAGAAGCTGACTGGGCTGGTGAGAAGAGTGCTGTGTTGCCCCAAACCTGGGTGGAATTCCATGCACTCACTTCCTGGCTGCCAATGGCTACCAGATAGATGACTGACACACAGAATAGATGCTTTTTGGTGGTGGCCCTGCAGTTGCGGAACTCAATACAGTGGTACCTCTACTTACGTTCACCTCCAGTTACGTATCCTTCGGGATACATACGTGGCAAACCCGGAAGTATTTTTCTGGGTTTCGCTGCACGCGCATGCGCAAAAGTGCTAAACCATGCCGTGCGCATGCGCAGAAGCGGCACCTCTGATTGCGTATTCCTCGGGATCTGATCAGAGCTCTGGAACGGATCCCGTTCACAACCAGAGGTACCACTGTACTACGTGATAGCAGCAAATCCCATCCACCAATACTTTCAAATGGGCCTTTAAGACCCACCTCTTTGCCATGATCTTCAGTGGCTAATTGTAAGATGAGCCATAGAAATGGTGATATGGTCTTTTTATGGTATGCTTGAGTTACACTGGGTTATTTGTTGTTTTTGTGATGGCTCTGAATAGTATTACTAGGAAGATATTTTAAATCATTTATTGCATTATATTTTATTGGTTATTTTTGGATGTGTACCTTGCAAGCTGTCTTGTTCAGAAAATATCTTAAGTAGTAGGTTATAAATCTGCTAAATAAAGACTAGCATAACCAACCTGCCTGCTAATGTGAAGATCACAGGAGTAAGGAGTCTTTTAAACAGCCTGCATGGAGAATTTTTATGAAGTAAACTATTTGTAGATGAATGCATATTGGATGCAATTTATAGCTGTCAGTTCAATTTGTTTCAAACTGAGCATTAAAGGGAGTGAAGTGTCTGAAACTGCCACGGAAGAATAGAATGCTGAACAGTAACAACATTTGTCTCCCTCTTCTTTGAAAGAAGGGTAATTTATTTTTGTGTGCGTGACATTCCGAGATCTCTAGTCCAAGAACATTTTGTGGCTATACCTTGTCTCAATTATTCTTTCCCAAGTCCACTTTTGCAAAGAAAATATTTATTCTTTCGGGAACATTCCTGTTATGCACAAAGATTCTGCAGTTGTAAACCAGCCAAATGAATCCATCACACTTTTCAGATTTGTGCACAGAGACCTCCATGAGTTTACAAAGGATAGGATTGGATTACCTACCTGTTGAATTTGACAGCTAGGCCCAAATCAGCAATACAGCAAGTCCCATTTCTCTTTATCAAGATATTTTTACTTTTCAGGTCTCTGTGCGCAATAGCAGGCTTGCCTTGCGTTCCATATATCTCTGTGTGCAAATGGCACAGGCCACAAGCAGCAGAGTAAGCCAGTTTGAGCAGAGATCTGTTGTCCAGAGTGGTACACTTCAGGAAGTCATACAATGACCCATTTTCATGGTAATCAGTAATCAAGTAGAGCTGGGTCCAGGAGCCTGTGCCTTTAATATCTGCTGCTATAAAACCTGCGGAAGTTAGAAACATAGTTAGTGCTGAATGTTCCCACAAATAGTGAAATTAACACTGTGCCAGGGATGGATATTGAGCAGACGTTTCTGTGACATGGAGTGGGGCTTTTTCCACCATTCCAACCCATTTAAACATCTAACTCCCTGGCAACAAAACACAAGCCTAAAAGACTTGTGGTCTTTTAGGGAGAGAATTAAGACCTCTCAATCTGCCAGGTGTTTTTTTTTAGTACAGTCTGACTTTGAAGAGGCAATTTCATAATCTGCTGTTGATTTGTTTTTATTGTTTGATAATGCTTTTAGCATTTGTTCTGTTGCTTTATGTTTTCAATTACTAGGGCTCCAGCTTAGTCAGGAAAGTAGGGTATACATTTGAAAAATAAATAAATTACACATACTTCAAATCTCAGATTCCTAACTTAGCAGTAGTTCCGCTGAGGATAAATGGAGTTTTGCCATGGAAGTGACTGGAAAATACTACAGAGTTCAGTTTCCATAAAAAACAACCCTGAAAACACCCATCGTCATCCCTTTCAATTTAACAGGATTTCTGCTTTGCAGATGAACTACATTATTAACAGATTTTAGCAGGTTTTGTCTTTCTTCTCAGAATGACACTACATCTTGATCCAAAAACAGTTTTCAATACTTACCGAGTATATTTTCATGGCGCATGAGAACTGTCTGGTAAATCTCAGTTTCTCGAAACCAGCTGGCTTCTTCAGTGGTGAAAAATACTTTCACTGCCACTTTTTCACCCCGCCATTTACCCATCCAGACTTCACCATATCGCCCTTTTCCAACTTGCCGCACCATTTGAATTTGTTTGGCTATTGTCCGCTGGACCTGAAGAAGAAATCTGAAATCACTGAGTGATTCTACAGATGCTGACCAAGTGCTTGGAAGCTCTTATTCGGACATTGCTTTTTCACAGAAAATAGTGGATACTCAAACAATTCATTAAAAAGGAGCTGTTAAGTTAAACAAAAATCTGCCACTAATTTAACAAGCTAAATCATAACCAGATCAAGAAATGAATTCTTTCTTATTGTTGCTTATGGAAGCAATCCACATATTTGAAATATTTGGTCTTGGGTCAACACAACATGAAATGAATTTCACTGGAACTATGGCAAGACTCGGTGTGCAGAAAAACCCTGTTCTGACATAAACATGTTTTCAACAATCTAATGTTTATCTTTTAACCTAAGATCAAACTGTTTGAGGTTTTTTGTTTGGGTTTTTTTCTCCACCCCATAAAGAACTGGTTTACCCGCTTGGCCAGAACCTGTATTCTAATAACTTGGCTCCAGGAACCCTGCTTAGGATGAGTGAGGGACAGGAGACATCCACACTCACCTCGTTTCCATCTATAATTGTTCCAGTCAGTGTCATATGTACTTCCCACACCCTGAGTACTTTGCCCTACTTATTTAAGGACCATTGCTGAGGCAGTCCCCAAGACTACCCATCTGACTGTGACAAACTTCTTTCACCGATTCCCCATAATCAGGGGCTGAAATCTCTGCCCTCCGGGAGATGACTGGACAAGCTATTTCCACCTCTGCTCCCCTTTTCCCCAAACCGTGGCAAAAATAAAGCCCTTCTCTGTATAAAGATGTCAGCTGCTCCTTCCTGAAAGGAGGCATTGACCTCCCATGATGTTTTGCACATGCTTGTAGTTTAGGACCTACCTGAATTTTCCAAATGTACAGGAAAAACTAGCAGAAACTATTATTTAACTTTATAAACCTGTCTCTCTTGAATACTTTCTCTGCGTATCCCAAATGGTTTGACGATCTACTTTGACTGGTGAATCAGTTTCCCAGAAACCTTCCCCGTTTGGGGAACTAAACTGTGGGATTAAGCAGAAAGCAGGACAGACTAGCTGAAGACTTGCCCAGCAGGGACTGAGGAGATAGTGCAGGCTCCTTTCTCCCACCCAGTGAGTCCATCTTCCACCTAATGTGGCTTCAACCTAGGGGACTGAAAGATCTGGGGTCAGGGTCCACCTCTCCCTTATAGGTTCTTCAGATTTATTTCTAAACAAACAAATTGTGTACTTAAATTTCCACACACACCCCTCAAATAAAACTGCCTTCCCAATAAGTTGTGTGTCTTTTTTTAAAAAAAAAACTAGCATGCTTGGAGACTAGTAGTGCCAGACAAGCATGGAGGAGGGGAAGTACCGTCCTCTGAAGAAAGCATAGAAATTCAGCAGGCCCAGAGAAGAAAGACTGCGCAATCTATCCCACCTTGCCAGCCTCCTCACTCAGCTTCAAAAAACTCCAGGCAAGTTGTTAACTACATGACTGCTGTAAAATAAAGAACTCTCAGCTGAAGAAGCACAGGTAAACCACTGGCTTACCAACAGAGGAAGTCCTGAACCACTGCCAGAGCTCTGTGATTGGTCAATAAGATCCTTAAGTGACTCGCCAGACGGAATAAAGGCTTCACCCTGCTCCAGGTCACGATTATAACATCCTCTCTTTGCTACCCACTTGCAATAATGCCTGGGGGGAAAAACACATCTTGATATAACATGGTGTTATTTTAAGTAACTATGCATACAGTGCCATAATTCCAAAAATATTTCGCACTGGTGGGTTTTTTTAAATCAATTTTTGCATCAGTGAGCAAATGTTGTCTATATAGTTTCATTTCTTGGTTTTCAATTTTGCCTGACAAATGCAAACAGCACACGGAAGTGAATACCTGAACTGAGGGGCCAATGTCATTTGAATTTGTGGTCTCCTTTATTATTATTGGCTCTGGATATCAAATCGTTGGATCTCCCAGTTTGTTCTCTGCATGCTAAGCAGAGTGGGAAGAAGAGCACAAGTTCAAGGTCCCCTTCTGATTTTACTGTGTACAGAGTTAAACTCAGATCAAACTGAACAATTCATAGCTAAATTAGGATGGTGGCACCCTAATCCTGAATATGTGTGACAATGAATAAGCTTGTGGTGCCACTGTAGCCTTTCTGCAATGCTGGCACTAAGGCAACATTTCATGACGGGTGGGTGGGTGGGTTGCATAGCTGCTGCTATAATCCATTCTAAGCTCTCAAGTGCTGATGCAGCAAGTGACTGAGCCAGATTGCAACTTTGCTTTAAAAAACAAAACCAAGATGAGTTACAAATGGCAAGTTTCAGAGGTAAGACACTAAATATGATACAAAAATAGTATCATGCTAAGAGTTGCCTAATTATAGGGTTTAAAAATGCCAATGTCACATACTGCTCAGATTGCTATCTTTACTCTGTATTAGGCCAATAGGGCAATCCTCTATATGTCTACTAAAAAGTAGGTCCCAATGGGGCTTTATCTCAATTATGCGTGTATAGGATTGTAGTCTAAGGATCAGTTCACAGAGTCCTCTGGTGCATGCACAGGATGGAGCACAATACCGAGTCTCCTCTGCTTTCCCCATTCTCCCGCCTTGCATATGGAACATCAGATCATAGAATCAAAGAATCATAGAACTGTAGAGTTGGAAGAGACACCAAGGATCATCTAGTCCAATCCCCTGGTATGTATGTATGTGATATGGTATGTATGCAAACACAACCATAAATAGACTGACTGCCATAGAAAAGGGTATACCCCAGATCACATGCAGTGCTCTAAATCAGTCTTCCCCATCTTGGTGACATCCAGATGTTTCGAATCATTAACTATGTTAGCAAGGGCTGATGGGAGCTGTAGTCCAAAAGTCCCTAGAGGGTGCTAGGTGCAGGGTGGGGACAAGGCCATATGCTTGAAACACACCCCTATATTCCAGTATATGTAGAGTGCACACAATAGTGAGCTGTCTGTGTCAAGTTTCACGTCAGATTGGTTTCCATACATATGACTATTTTCACAGTGATGCAAATCAAACTGTGTTTGATTCTAGAATACCTCCAGACATTCTTAGTGATCTAACTAGTTAGCAACAAATCTGCAATACACTATGCATGAAAAATAGGATATCACCCAACAAGATTTTTACCTGTAGCAGAAACAGCTAAATAAGATGATCATAACTATTATACAGACTGCCATAGAAATAAATGCAGCCATCCAACGTATGCTGCCATCGAAGATGCCACCTAAATAAAGGAACAAACTATTAATATAATTAATATGAAAGGTAAATTTATCTCTCAGAAATATGAGACAAACTTAGGGAATATTGGAAAGCTATCCATCCCCACACTGCCCGTTGCAACTCTTACATAGCTACATATACAGCAATTGTGTGGAAGGCCTCCTTTTAATCAGTAGGCATGCGGGATCCCCAAGGATAGGGCTCCTGTACTCGTGTGCTAGAAACGTGAGTCAGATTTTGTTTATTCTGTGAACATCAAGTCATACGAAGTGCTTTTCTGGTTCTATATTACAAAACTCCCCATTTTTATTTTTAAGAATTCACTCATTCTTTTTAATCAAATGCAGTAAGACTTCAGTGCGTGATTTATAGGACATTTTCCACTACCACTCCTCTGACAATCCAGCTTGGTTTAGCTTCCTCTGATGAAACACAATAACTATTGAAAAACAAGTTAGAGAAGCATGGGGGGGGAGGAGTTAAGGTACAGGTTATGCTTACTACTTTCTTATTACTGCACCAGGAAATAAATACACGCTTTTCGGGGGTGTGAATTAAAGCAAAGTTGAGACTGGTGAAAAATCAGGAAAGTGGTGGGGAGACTGCTGAAGGCAGCAACGCTGATGACTGTGATGATAATGATCACGATAATTAACATTACCACTTTCAAGTGGTCAAAGCACTTCCCATGCATTATCTAAAATCCTTACAACAAACTTGTAAGTCAAGTTAGTACTATTAATTTCCATGTTGCAGATGGGAGGGAAGATACCAAGAGTGAGTTGCTTGCCTAAGGCCACCTAGCGAGTTCATGACAGAGCTGAAATTTGAACCAGGGACTTCCTCATTCACAAATGAGCCCGAACAATGCCGATAGCTTGGGGGCAGGTCCTCACGCACATTCATAAAAATGCTATCCAAACAGCAAGCAGCATCCTAAATTTTTAATGATCCTCTGGAGCCCCTTGAGAGGGCTGGATAGTTTTTTTGGTAGCCTAATGAGAATAGCGGTAGTGATCTCTTGACTGGCAACATGTCACTGTTTGCCTGTCAAGATGCTATAATCACTTTAAGGTCTCCAAGCTCCTCAATCTTGGTTGGGGTGATGAACAAATATGATAGTCAATGCAAAGTATCAGCATGGGCAGAACAGCAAACACAGCTAATTTGGTTCTATCGCATCCAAAGGAAGAAAAGGCAACTTGGTCTGTACTGAGATCCTCATATGAAATGACTTGTATATTTAGCTGTAATAACTATAGTACATAAAATGACAGAGGGCTGATTCTAGAAGGTGGTGCAGTGTGACTGGCATTTATACTATGGGGCTCCAAAGGGTTCCTTTCTGCCATCCCCGTTAACATCTACATCAGGAGTGGGAGGGAGAATTTACCCCAAGGGTAGCATTCCCTCATAACTAGTCTTCTGTCTGCCTGAGGCTATGCAGCTGGTAGTTGGAGAGAGGGATTTATTGGCTCTGACACCATCTTTTGAATTCACCCAGTATCTATTCCAACATCTTTTTGGTGCCAAGCAAAGATAGTTCTATTTCCCCATACTTTTTAATCTCCCATTATGTTTATGCTGAAATAAACCAACTTTTTGATGCTGTATGCTGCTTTGGGTTTAGCTGCTGCAGTCAAGGGGACTAGTGGGAAGGGTTTGTGACAGAAATCCTAGTGCCCGTGCAAAAACCTGGTTCACATCCCTAAGGATCCTGCCTGTGGAATATTTATTCATTTTCTTCCATTTATGGTCCACATTTTTTTCTGCTGCAGAACCCAAGGTTGTGTGGCATGCATGTATGTCCCAGGTGGACACTCATCCAGGCACTAACCAGATCCAGCCTGATCATCTTCAGCAGGTGGTGGTCTCACATACCTTCAAACCATACTCTGGAAATACTAGGAAGCACCATACCTGGACTTATGGGAGGAGGTAATGTGGGCTGCAAATCTCGATTGCAGAAATCTGTCCGACAGCATTCAATTGTCCGTCGTGGTTGTGCTTTTGGAGAGTCCTATAGAGAAAAAGAAATGATGCATATTTTGTCACAAGTATTCTCTGAACAACCCTCTATAGCTACATAAGTTACAACAAAGGGGAAGATTAAAGCTATGTAGATTTTTGCTAAGTAGATTGCTGTAAAGATTTTAAGACAAAGTATTAATGTTCGAAACGATAAAATTGGCAAAGAAATAAATCTCCCAATTTTAGGCTTTTGGAGCAAATTACTTGCATGAACAGCAAATGTTGGAATTAAGTGTGAGGAGCTGCCTGGGTTCACATGCAACAGAAGACAGTTGGAATACCTTGCACTGGAAGTCTGAGCCTTCATACTTCATGCAGCCTGAAGCAAGTGTAATTTCGCCATTTTCTTCTTCTTCGATTATGGCAAAGCAATGTCCATTAGTTCTGGAACAGATGAATTGACTTCAATTCTCCGTGTACTGTTCTGCATTCAACCAACCTATTTATATCTATTAGATTATTGTCTTGTATTCTTCCTTCCAGTATAATGGACACATGGCACTCATGATACTGCACTCAAAGGAAACAAGGGACTTCAGAACAGATAAAACAGGGTTGGATTTACTTAATGGTGTGGCAAAGTCATGGGAGGTACTCCAGGGAGATGAACTATTCCTGAAGACTACATTCCAAGATTAATGCTAATTATGAAAAAACCTTTAAGACTCCTCCTATACGTTAGTCATGCCTATCATGTGACACTGAAAATATTGTACATACCCATGGAAAATCAATCCTCTATTGCCTGCAAAAATCAGCACTTAAACCAATTCTTATTCAAGGCCTAGTAATTAAGCAAACAACAATTCAATGTTTTCAAAATCTGGAAGCTTCTCTGACTGCATCTCATAATTTGAACTGTTTTTAAGAGAAGCCAACTGAAATACGGCTCTTCAATTACTCTCAAGCACAAAATTAAGTAACGAAGTCTAGATTAATCTCCCTCAACATATGTGCCAAGATCCAAGTCTGTTCCACCAAATAGATATCATTAAAATTTGGTGCTACAGAACTTTTCCCACTTTCTTTCTTTCTTTTTCTTTTTTCATTCTCATCCTATCCACACATAAACAGGTATTACTGATTTCAATAGACTTTGTTTCCCATTAGATGTACTTGAGATTTCAGCCTTTGAATGCCTGGAGATTCAAGGCAGCTAAAGGTAAAATGGCCCCGTCGGGTCAGTAATAAAAAAGTAAGAAATCTTTCAATTCAGTATTAATAACATTTAATAGGACATTTATGACCAATCAAAACATATGCCTTCAAAATTATTTGATGGGTTTTCCATCTTAAAAATTCTATCTACTAGATTTATCAACTACATGAACGTAATACTTGAATATAGAAACTATATAAAAAACAAACACTAGAGGGCAATAAAAAGCAACAATTCTAATGTGACCAATGATTTGACCAAATCAGATCCCCTTATGCTATGCAAGAAGAACAGGTTGTTTAGCTGTACCTGTAGTTCTCCGAGTTGTTATTTGTGCAGACACACATGTGCAGACATGTAAGCTAGTCTAGAGATTTGGCAAGTGCCCTGCCCCCACCTTCCATGCTCACGCATTCAGGGACAGAGCTCCTGCATTCTTGCTCAGTTCAAAAACCACAGCCCTATGGAGGAGATAACAACCATACTTACATCTACCTTGGGGAAAGAGAGTGGGTTGTGTGTCTGCACAGATGACTATTGGAAATAAAGTCTCAGGTTACAAGTAAGCAACCCGTTCTTTGTGGTCTCTGTGCTATTGCACACATACGGGTAGTAAAGCAAGCTAGCTTACTAGAGGCAGGAAAGATACGATGAGGTCAAGGACGCAAGTGCAGCCCTTCCAAAAGACATTGCTCAGTTCCATTTGCCTTGTAATCAAGCAGATTACAGATGAAAACCAAAGGTTGTAGCCAAGTAGCAGCATGGTGGAGGTCCAGCAGTGGACCTTGGAGGAATACCATGGAAGTCACTACAGCTCTGGCTTCACTTTGGAGTAGGGATCTTCGGAGGTCTGTAGGCATAGGCACGGGTGAACCATTGAAGATACTAGTGGGTGAAATGTTGGGTCTGGCACCCTCATAACAAATAAACAGATCCAGACTACTCAAGAAGCTTTTGGTTCTGGAAAAATAAACATTCAAAACTCTGAAGCTAGGTTACGGAAGACAATGGCCTCATTGTGGTGGAACGAAGAGGCAACCTTGGGAAAGAACAAATATCTGGTTTCAGTACAACTCTGATCTGGTGTATGGGAGTCAAATATGGGAGCTAAACACTTGGAGCACACTTATAACTCACACTCATCATCACACTCCTCACCAATGTAATTGCCACTAAAAAGGTACCTTGGAAGACAGTAGGTTTCCTGAATGAAATTTTCAGCAGGTACAGAAACCATGTTTGTGTCTCCTCAGAGGCCACAGACAAGGTATAGCCAAATTCTAAGAAATATATTAAAAGCTTTTAACCAATCCTCAATTCAGAAAGTCATTTCACCTGACCATAATAGTATATGAACTGAAAAAGGGTGGAACAAGGGAACTGAGAAACAAGAACGGACAGTGAAAATATTTGAAACCTCTAACCTTACTATAACTTGTACATATGAGGAAACAGTCTTTATTCTGCCCACAACACTTACTTGCATGTATTGTTAATGGCATTTTCTGGACAGTGCCCTGAGCAGTAGCACTGCAAAAAGGGCAACGTGTCCTCTGGAGCTAGGGTGACTCCATCTTCCTGCTTTTTCTGATCAGGATCAGTCTTCATCCCTGTCCCATGGAGCATGCTGTCTAGATTCTGCCCTGTATAATGTAGATACAAACATAATGGTTTGTTTCGGAAGGCAGGGTTACACTGAAGGTTTAGAACTCTCGGCTGCAGTAGCCTCTGTATAGTCCTTCTGTTCTGGTCCCAAAGCAAACCTGGAATGCTCATTTGCATACTTAAAACCTAACTTGAAAACTTATTTACCTGTAAGTGAACCACCACAGATTGCTTTTTAATTTTTTTAAAATCTGACTTTCAAATTAACAAGCATAAACATAAATTGGCGTAGGTAATTGAAATATCAATGTTAACATTCTGATATTGCAGGCAGCTGAGCATAATACAATAATTATGTTTTAATAACATAAATGTTAGTTCTGTCCTGATAATTATATGAAATTTTATGGAAATGAATTCCAAATGCATCTCTCTTTTTTGGACATTATCTCAAAAAGTAAGGTGTTTAAAATTTTCATTTGGTTGTTGAGTTTTTATTCCTACTAAATTTGTACAAACTTCTACTTTGCTTAGGATCATGCGTAGGAATACTTCTATAGCAGGGGTGAGGAACCTGTGGCATTCCAGATGTTATTGGACTACAATTCCCATCATCCCTGAATATTGGCTGCACTGGCTGAGGCTGATGAGAGTTGTAGTCCAAACATCTGGGGGGCACCAGGTAGGGAAGGCCACATCTCTCAGATTAAACTGAGTTTCCTTTAACACTTAAATATTCATAAAATCAGAATATTATTTCAATTACTATTACCATAATGGGCACAGAATCTAAGTTAGCCTTCACCAACATGGTGCCCTCCAAGGACTGAGCATGCTCAACGGAGTCTAGGAGTCAAATAACGTTGTTACTGCTTCTTCTAAACAACCAGTTGCATTTCCATTTTATTGTAACTTTTTAAAATGATGCCTGTTGTGATATTCTTTTGTGAACCACTTAATGAGGTTGAACTGAGCAGCAGTATTTAAATACTTTAAATAAATAAAACAGGCAGGTATCTTTGGATATCTCTAACATCTTTGCTTTCTCGCTTAAATGAACCTTCGTCTATGCCTATAAATTTCAGTTGATTAACTTTTTCCATGACTCAGCTCACGGTTTACATAGTCTTCTGGGTGATTCAGAGAGGCCTATACCTGTATAATGACTTTGCAATTAGTCTCAAGTAATTAGTCTCATAAAAACAGCCATATCTACCCTGATTCCCTCCTTGTCAAAAGGAGGCTAGCAGACTCTTCTGACTAGCAGCGTGTGCATTCACTAGGCAATCTTCCCTGTGTGAGGAAAGAACTTGATAGCTTAGATTCCTTAAGTGCACTGTGCCCTTTTTCTTTTAGGGTCTTTCGTCTAAAAATATTATAGCCGCCACATTAACTCAGAAATATCTGAAGCTTTCACTGAATAAGACTGTCCATAGAGATGGAAATTAGTCAACAGATGCAAATGCTGCACCATTTAAAATACAAAGGAATTTTATCATTGAGTTTAGTATGAACTGCATAAATAATAACAACAACTTATTATTATTATTATTATTTATATGCCACCCATCTAACTGGGTTGCTCCAGCCTGGGAGGCTTCCAACAAATTAAAACATCAAACAGAACCTGGAATATTTTTTTATAGCAAAATGTAACTGATGTTTTTTGTTTCAAAGCAGAGGGTTTGAGAATTGCTGAAAAAGATGGAAACCACTTTCAGGTGAGCACAAAAAGTCTTCCATTTCAACAGCTTTCATGTTGTTTCTACGTTTCAAAAACGACAGCAGCTTATCTGCATTTATTTCTGACTGCAGTTAAAACATAAAATGTTGGCTATGCACATGAACATTCCATACATCAAAAAACTTTCTTTTTCAAACGTTTTACAAGTATGACTTTACCTTGAACTTGAGAAATGATGACTGCATAGAACCCCAGCAATCTGATGTAAACTTTCAGACAAATCATTGTCCGAATATAAATCCTTCCTGTGCACTGTCAACTTTGGCAAACTGCCCTGCTGCTTGACAAGTTCTAAGCTGGACTGTTTAGCAAAATCTGCTAGAAGACTTGGTGGCCAGTTGAAGCAATGGTTTAATTATTCCAATTTGTTTTCTGGAAAAAAGAAACGAAACAAAATTGCATTTTTGAACAGATGAATAAAATTATGCAAATTCCCCAAACCCTGAAAACGGTAGGAGGGTATCAAATGGACAAGATACAGTAAAAGCTTGAAGTGATAAAACATGTACAAGTATATTTAAAGGACTAAAATATGACCTATTTGTATTTTAATCCATTGGATAACTATACAACATTTTAAAATTAATAGTTGACAACTAGCTGATTGATAACATCTATGTAGCTAAAAATGTGAAATTGCTGTAGAACTTATCGAATTTTAAAAGAATGATAACAATTCCACTCTAACACACCAGTGCACAAACATCTACTAGAAAAAAAGATTTTTCTTTAAATACAAAGCTGTCTAGAAAACACTTTTCTAATGTTTGCTCAACTGCATAAAAAGGAAGGCAGTAAAATTTGCTCTACCATTTTGAAGTATACTTCAGAAACAAAGTGGGCAAACATGGTTATATTAAAATGTAGCAGCTTTTAGTAATCTCACAGTGATGTTTTCGAAATGATTAATAGGGCCTAACTAGGTCTCAGAGGAATAAACAGCAATTTGGACACCTAGGTAGTTAATATAGACAATACAGATTCTGTGTTAAGATGAACAGAACACTGATTTTGCCTTTCTTTGGCCTCTTGTTTGAGTGGGCTTGACCTCCTGACCCCTGTCAGCCTGGCGCTATTCTTGAATGAAAAAACTTGTATTTGTTCAAGGATGTGCTGCAATTACTGTTAGTGGCTGCTTCTACCATAAATAACTCAATCTGTCTGTTGGCAGGACCCAAGAACTTTTCATTTTAATTACTGCTTCATAGGCATTTAACATGGAGGCAAATTACTGGCAGAGCATAGAGGTGTCTGTCACTTTCAATTTGCGCATGCAGGGGGCATGCAGCCTTCGACCTGTGGCCTACTTTTCACACATCTGTGACTTCTTAGTAATGAAGAAACAAAGCAGCTTCCTCACTACAAGAAATAGAACCACTGCAATGGAATAGCCTATCTGTGGATACAGCAATTGATGTATATTCAACGTTGGGCTATGCCCAGAGTATAATAGTTATCCAGAATATCTCCACCTAAAGCTTCTTTAAAAAGTCTCAATGAGTATTTTAGCCTTTAGGTCTCGGATAGTGTTGCTGTTTCAAAAAGTCTTCAGCTTTTATTGTATTGATTTTACATTTGCTTTATTGTGCCATTTCAGACTGTACACAGCCCTGAATATTGTCACAGAATCGATTCTTATTTAGAAAACCTTTTTAAAAAGTGACCTAAGGTTTTTATATCCCTGAATCACGTTTCCATGGCTGGCAGATTGTCTCCTTTCAGTTCCAGAATAATTTCCCCCAGTCAAAATTGTTGTGCATGTGTAATGGTCATGAATGCACAATGACCTCAGATAACAATTTAAAAATTAATAAGTTGGGCTGTACGCCCCGTCGTAAGTTTTGAATCATCCCAAAAGAAGCATTCAAATTTCTTTTATAAGATGGTATTTGAATCCAGCCCAACACTTTCCTTCAGTGCAAGTCAGTGTCAAAATATAGCATTCACATGCCAAATATAGTCCAAGAACGTAGGAATGACTAAGAAACTGTGTGTGTGACCCCAAAATATTTTTGGGCACCATAAATCATATACCCACAGATCCAGGACAGTGTCCTCAACAAGGTGGCATTGAATCACACCCAGCCCAAAGCTTTCCTTGGGTGCAAGACACTGTAAAATGTGTGAACTCACACAAATCAGCACAAAAGACTGTCAAATATGGGGTCCCCACACCAGTAATAGTCAACATTACTGGACTTTCTCCTGGATGTGTGAGCATTTGACTTCTGATGGCCCAAAAACAATAGGGCTAAAAGGACCCAAGTATCCAAAATTAAGCTGATTAAGGGATGAGGAGTTTATCTAGAACCAAGTGTAAGAACCTAAGACAATGACCATGCCTTTAAGATTATTTTATTTTTTACTTTCTTTTCCCCCTTGAAGAATCAGAGATTGCAGGCAGGCAGGCAGAGCTGCAAATCCTGCTTTCATGACCCATATCCGGAGCCAGGTTGCAATTTTCCCTGGGGATCAACTGGCTGATGATCTGGTGTTTTTTCACCTTACCACATAACTTGTGGCACAGCTAACTTGCATAAACCACTAGGATTTAGTTACACTAAGCTTATGCTTCTAAAGTGGCAGACCTTGGTCGTTTGTGTTTCCTGTATGTAGCATACTAACTTACTTGATTTTTACCTCACCCTATCAACAAGGGCTAACACATACTCCTAAAATAAACCCTTGCTTATCCTGGCCATTTAAAGCTTTTCTCTAATACATTCTGAAAGATGCTCAGACATTTGAGTTCTCTGAGAGCCAGAGGAAAAAGCGTTTCAGAGTTGTTTCAATGCCATGCAATCGTTGTAATAAAAATGAAAATGAAGTAATTAAAGTGCAAAAAATGAGGCTATGTTCAACAAAGAAATGCTTTGATTAGGAGGGTTTCTGGGTGCAATTTAAAGAACAAAATGAACTGGCTTAATGTTTTAGGATCAGCTATGTAAGATTTACATGCACTTGTTTGATATTAATAAAATGCATTACAAACAATTTGCCTATAACAGAGGACTGTGTATTTCAGAATATTTTAAAAGATTTTAAATTGCCATGTTTGTTCACAACTGGAGTGGCCAATGTGATACTCCATGTGACACGCAATAGTGTCCAATCCCTGGCTCACTACCCACTTTGTGATGAGGGTGGTTACCACACCACCACCCCTCCGAAAGTACTAGAACTTAAGAACAAAATTAGAAGAGTAATGCTCATTTTCACTTCCTCTTTCAGCTCTATATGATTTTCAATTATCAAATCAGAATTTGTGTAACTGGAAAGTGGAGTAACTGAATGAGGAGGGAAAGGGGAGGGGAAAATGAAGTAAAAATGAGTAGTAGTAGTAGTAATAATAATAATAATTATTTATTTATTCCCCAGCCACTCTGGGCAGCTTCCAACCGCATATTAAAAACAATACAGCATCAAACATTAAAAACTTCCCTAAACAGGGCCGCTTTCAGTTGTCTTTTAAAAGTAAAATGGTTGCTTATTGCCTTGACATCTGCTGGGAGGGCGTTCCACAGGGCAGGTGCCACTGTGGGGAATGTACGGTGCTACAAGCGTCAGGAGAGAGGGAAAAGGAAGAAAATCAAGAAAGAGAAAAAGAATGTGAGTGTAAGTGCGCATGCCAGATTCATTAGAATAGTCTGAATGCTATATACTTTTTTCATGGTTTCTTTCCCTACTCATCAAATCACAGATCCTTACAGGTGCTCCTAATTTTGACAAAGGATCCACTGAAAACCATCATCAATTTGTGACAGCTGCATATTCCTGCATTTCAGGGGGTTAGACTAGATGATCCTAAGGGTCCCTTTCCAACTCTAAAATTCTGTGATCTATTCATATGTCACTTCTGTGTCTACAGACGTGTTCTGTGATTTGTTGGTGGGTTTACTGTCATCCAATGTATACGTTGCTTAGATTGGGGGCTGCCATACCAGCACCGACAAAGGCGTTCCTTGGCATCCCCAAGGCAACCTGTCATCACTCAGCTGTTGTTGCCCACCAGCCACATGGCGCTAACACAGCTGGAACTCCCTTTGTCTCGCAGAGGACTTTTTTCCTTAGTGAGGAGGGTGGGTAGGAGGCAAGAACAAAGAAGATAGTGCTGTTCATTAAACATGGCTGCCTGGCAGCCATGCTGAGCTGGAGAGAGGCACTTCCATTGCCCTGTGAAGGAGCTTTTCTCAGTGAAGTACAGTGGACGCTTGGGTTGCGAACGTGATCCGTGCGGGTCACGATCTAGCGCTTCTGCGCAAAGCACGATTTTGTGCTTCTGCACATGCGCCGAAACCCGGAAGTAACCCGTTCCGGTACTTCCGGGTTTGGCACGGTGCGCAACCTGAAAATGCGCAACCAGAAGCGTCTGTAACACAAGGTATGACTGTAGTCAGGGAAAAGGTGGCAGAGATAACTTCCATTCGCTCAGCGTTGTTGCCCACTGACAGATAACTTCTGAACTTGAAGCCCCTCACTTCATAAAATGCAATACAGTGGTACCTTGGGTTACAGACGCTTCAGGTTACAGACTCCACTAACCCAGAAATAGTACCTCGGGTTAAGAACTTTGCTTCAGGATGAGAACAGAAATCGCGTGGCGGCGGCAGGTCCCAATAGTGAAAATGGTACCTCATGTTAAGAACAGTTTCAGGTTAAGAACGGACCACCAGAAGTTCTTAACCCGAGGTGCCACTGTACATGCTGAAAACTGAACACTTAAATAAAACCACCAAAATAATCTGCTGCAGGATCATATTTATTTATGATACTTATACCTTACCTATGGAATTTAAACAGCCCTCCCTTTAAAGTATGGTGAATTGCCAACTGCCATTAATAAATGTTAGTATTATGTTACAGAATGAGTTCTCCAGGTGCCCACTTTATTGCCCCTTGTGCAGAGAAATCATAGCGTTCAAAAAAGGATATTAATTTGCTATACAATTGGTATTTCTTTTAAGAATTCATCATCTCGCTTTTACTACCTAGTATTAGAATACTGAAAAGATAATAAGCCAAGAAGAAATGCTTGCTATCATTCTTTAGCAAGACATGCAAGCTGATAACTTTAGGTTACAACATTCATTCCTTCAGGAATAGGTAAGCCACTTAAGTAGAACTCCAGCTGGATGGTATGCCTCATTTCTAACTGTATAGAGTGTGCAGATGAAGGTTTTGAAAGGTTGAGTATGAATAAATTAAATAAAACACTGCCAGAAGTTAAATATAAAGGCAATTAACAGAATTGGGCATTTTGCTGGTCAGTGATTTGTGTGATCAGATATTTTAACCATGTAAATCTAACAAAACCCTGTTCAAAGTCAGCATCTTCTCTTAAAATAAGCTTTTTGTAATATTTATAGTTTTAT